TATGTATGTATGTATGTATGTATGTATGTATGTATGTATGTATGTATGTATGTATGTATGTATGTATGTATGTATGTATGTATGTATGTATGTATGTATGTATGTATGTATGTATGTATGTATGTATGTATGTATGTATGTATGTATGTATGTATGTATGTATGTATGTGTGTGTGTATGTATGTATGTATGCATGTATGTATGTGCTAGGTATGTCGGTATATGAGTGTGCATGTATGAGAATGGGAAAGTGTGTAAGACTGTGTACACATGATGTATGTATTATATTCTATAATGTATATTTTTATTCTATATCCATAACATGCATTTTAGATAACAGGCAGTGGTACTCTGAAAAACGAGTGCTTAAAAGGGCCGAATGTCAGATATCTATCTATCTATCTATCTATCTATCTATCTATCTATCTATCTATCTATCTATCTATCTATCTATCTATCTATCTATCTATCTATCTATCTATCTATCTATCTATCTATCTATCTATCTATCTATCTATCTATCTATTTATCTATCTATCTATCTATCTATCTATCTATCTATCTATCTATCTATCTATCTATCTATCTATCTATCTATCTATCTATCTGTCTGTCTGTCTGTCTGTCTGTCTGTCTGTCTGTCTGTCTGTCTGTCTGTCTGTCTGTCTGTCTGTCTGTCTGTCTGTCTGTCTGTCTGTCTGTCTGTCTGTCTGTCTGTCTGTCTGTCTGTCTGTCTGTCTGTCTGTCTGTCTGTCTGTCTGTCTGTCTGTCTGTCTGTCTGTCTGTCTGTCTGTCTGTCTGTCTGTCTGTCTGTCTGTCTGTCTGTCTGTCTGTCTGTCTGTCTGTCTGTCTGTCTGTCTGTCTGTCTGTCTGTCTGTCTGTCTGTCTGTCTGTCTGTCTGTCTGTCTGTCTGTCTGTCTGTCTGTCTGTCTGTCTGTCTGTCTGTCTGTCTGTCTGTCTGTCTGTCTGTCTGTCTGTCTGTCTGTCTGTCTGTCTGTCTGTCTGTCTGTCTGTCTGTCTGTCTGTCTGTCTGTCTGTCTGTCTGTCTGTCTGTCTGTCTGTCTGTCTGTCTGTCTATCTATCTAAATTAGAGCACATTTCAGCATGTGTAATTAAGACTTAGATATTCTAAATTTTTGCCACCTTTTTTTTCTATGTTTCTTAATTTTTTTATTTTGCATTTCTCTTATTATTATTATTATTATTATTATTATTATTATTATTATTAATATTATTGTCATTATTATTAACTGTGAAATGAGGTACAAATGGAAAATTGTATGAAAGGAGCGGAGTGGACGGTCCGAATGTTAGACGGGCTTGCGTGCCCAATTCTTAACCCTTTGATAATAAAGTTTGTTCATTCGTTCGTTCTGTCTGTCTGTCTGTCTGTCTGTCTGTCTATCTGTCTGTCTATCTATCTATCTTTCTCTTTCTCTCTCTTCCTGTCTGTCGAAGCTTCCTTCAAAGACCAACTGCTGGATAAGAAGCAATGCTCACTCTCTCCCTCTCTCTCTCCCCCACCTCTCTCTCTCTCTTTCTCTCTCACTCTCCCCCACCTCTCTCTATCCCCTCTCTCTCTCTCTCCCTCTCTCTCTCTCTCTCTCTCTCTCTCTCTCTCTCTCTCTCTCTCTTTGCCAGCATGTCGAAGTTTCCCTACTAGACCAGCTGCCAACCAAACCTAAGGGCCGGATGTCATCTTAACAGTCAATGATTTACAGAGGCGGAAACATGAGTATGAAATGTGATCAACGGAAATATAATTGAACTGATGAATGCAACTAATGAACGTAAAGGTGGATTCTCCTTACATACACACAGAAGGAACCACTGGTCCATCATAGAGACCCTTGTTTGTATTGGTTTTACAACAAATATTTGGGAAATATACAAGTAACGTTAGGTTACAGCAGATTGTGTTGCTGCTAAATGAAGCAGTGTGACGCATTGATAGGGGAAATATAGAGAGGACGGTCGTGTCAATGTGTATATGTTGTGTCTGTGAGAGTGTGTATGCCTGTATGTGTTGTATCTGTCTGTGTGTGTGTGTGTGTGTGTGTGTGTTGTGTTGTGCTTCTGTATATTCGTTGTGCGTGTGTGTGTGTTGTGTTGTGCTTCTGTATATTCGTTGTGCGTGTGTGTGTTTGTGTGTTGTGTTGTGCTTCTGTATATTCGTTGTGCGTGTGCGTGTGTGTGTGTGTGTGTGTGTTGTGTTGTGCTTCTGTATATTCGTTGTGCGTGTGTGTGTGTGTGTGTTGTGTTGTGCTTCTGTATATTCGTTGTGCGCGTGTGTGTGTGTGTGTGTGTGTGTGTGTTTGGTACACCTTCTGTACAACAACATCGGCCATGCACTCAGAATGGATAAGACCAGACTCCCCCATCAAGCCCTCATATGGACACCAGAAGGAAAAACAAAACGGGGACAACCAAGAGCGAGCCTGTGTAGAACCAACATCAGGGAAGGCTTCACCATGGGCCTAACAAACATCCAGGACCTACAACAGGTGGCAACGAACCGCCAGACACGGAGAGCTGTGACATGGGGAGTTATGACATGGAGAGCTGTGACATGGGGAGCTGTGACATGGGGAGTTATGACATGGAGAGCTGTGACACGGAGAGCTCTGATATGGGGAGCTCTGACATGGGGAGCTGTGACACGGAGAGCTCTGATATGGGGAGCTCTGACATGGGGAGCTGTGACACGGAGAGCTGTGACACGGAGAGCTCTGATATGGGGAGCTGTGACATGGGGAGCTGTGATATGGGGAGCTCTGACATGGAGAGCTGTGACACGGAGAGCTCTGATATGGGGAGCTGTGACATGGGGAGCTGTGACATGGGGAGCTCTGATATGGAGAGCTGTGACACGGAGAGCTCTGATATGGGGAGCTGTGACATGGGGGAGCTGTGACATGCTCTGATATGGGGAGCTGTGACTGTGACATGGAGAGCTCTGATATGGGGCTGTGACATGGAGAGCTCTGACATGGGGAGCTCTGACATGGAGAGCTGTGACATGGAGAGCTCTGATATGTGACACGGAGAGCTGTGACATGGGGAGCTGTGAGCTCTGACACGGAGAGCTGGGGAGCTGTGACATGGGGACTCTGACATGGAGAGCTGTGACACGGAGAGCTATATGGGGAGCTGTGACATGGAGAGCTGTGACATGGGGACATGACACGGGAGCTGTGACACGGAGAGAGCTGTGTGACACTGGAGAGCTGTGACATGGGGAGCTCTGACATGGAGAGCTGTGACACGGAGAGCTCTGATATGGGGAGCTGTGACATGGGGAGCTCTGACATGGGGAGCTGTGACATGGAGAGCTCTGATATGGGGAGCTGTGACATGGAGAGCTGTGACATGGGGAGCTGTGACACGGAGAGCTGTGACACGGAGAGCTGTGACATGGAGAGCTGTGACATGGAGAGCTGTGACACGGAGAGCTGTGACATGGAGAGCTGTGACATGGAGAGCTGTGACATGGAGAGCTGTGACATGGAGAGCTGTGACACGGAGAGCTGTGACATGGAGAGCTGTGACATGGAGAGCTGTGACATGGAGAGCTGTGACATGGGGAGTTATGACATGGAGAGCTGTGACATGGAGAGCTGTGACATGGGGGGTTATGACATGGAGAGCTGTGACATGGGGAGTTATGACATGGAGAGCTGTGACATGGAGAGCTGACATGGAGAGCTGTGACATGGAGAGCTGTGACATGGGGAGCTATGACATGGAGAGCTGTGACATGGAGAGCTGTGACATGGGGAGTTATGACATGGAGAGCTGTGACATGGAGAGCTGTGACATGGAGAGCTGTGACATGGAGAGCTGTGACATGGAGAGCTGTGACATGGAGAGCTGTGACATGGGACATGGAGAGCTGTGACATGGAGAGCTGGAGAGCTGACATGGAGAGCTATGACATGGAGAGCTATGACATGGAGAGCTATGACATGGAGAGCTGTGACATGGAGAGCTGTGACATGGAGAGCTATGACATGGAGAGCTGTGACATGGAGAGCTGTGACATGGAGAGCTGTGACATGGAGAGCTATGACATGGAGAGCTGTGACATGGAGAGCTATGACATGGAGAGCTGTGACATGGAGAGCTGTGACATGGAGAGCTATGACATGGAGAGCTGTGACATGGAGAGCTATGACATGGAGAGCTGTGACATGGAGAGCTGTGACATGGAGAGCTATGACATGGAGAGCTGTGACATGGAGAGCTGTGACATGGAGAGCTGTGACATGGAGAGCTGTGACATGGAGAGCTGTGACATGGAGAGCTGTGACATGGAGAGCTGTGACATGGAGAGCTGTGACATGGAGAGCTGTGACATGGAGAGCTGTGACATGGAGAGCTGTGACATGGAGAGCTGTGACATGGAGAGCTGTGACATGGAGAGCTGTGACATGGAGGAGAGCTATGACATGGAGAGCTGTGACATGGAGAGCTATGCTGGAGCTGACATGGAAGCTATGACATGGAGAGCTGTGACATGGAGAGCTGTGACAGCTGTGGAGAGCTATGACATGGAGAGCTGTGACATGGAGAGCTGTGACATGGAGAGCTGTGACATGGAGAGCTGTGACATGGAGAGCTGTGACATGGAGAGCTATGACATGGAGAGCTGTGACATGGAGAGCTGTGACATGGAGAGCTGTGACACGGAGAGCTGTGACATGGGGAGTTATGACATGGAGAGCTGTGACATGGAGAGCTGTGACATGGAGAGCTGTGACATGGAGAGCTGTGACACGGAGAGCTGTGACATGGGGAGTTATGACATGGAGAGCTGTGACATGGAGAGCTGTGACATGGAGAGCTGTGACACGGAGAGCTGTGACATGGAGAGCTGTGACATGGAGAGCTATGACATGGAGAGCTGTGACATGGAGAGCTGTGACATGGGGAGTTATGACATGGAAAACTATGACGTGGAGAGCTGTGACATGGAGAGCTGTGACATGGAGAGCTGTGACATGGAGAGCTGTGACATGGAGAGCTGTGACATGGAGAGCTGTGACATCGGAGAGCTGTGACATGGAGAGCTGTGACATGGAGAGCTGTGACATGGAGAGCTGTGACATGGAGAGCTGTGACATGGAGAGCTATGATGTGGAGAGCTGTGACATGGGGAGCTATGACACAGAGAGCTGTGACATGGGGAGCTATGACACAGAGAGCTGTGACATGGGGGGTTATGACATGGAGAGCTGTGACATGGAGAGCTATGACATGGAGAGCTATAACATGAAGAGCTATGACATGGAGAGCTGTGACATGGGGAGCTATGACACAGAGAGCTGTGACATGGAGAGCTATGACATGGAGAGCTATGACATGGAAAACTATGACATGAAGAGCTATGACATGGTTAGCAATGACATGCAGAACTATGACATGCAGAGCTATGACATGCAGAACTATGACATGGAGAACTATGACATGGAGAACTATGACATGGAGAACTATGACATAGAGAGCTATAACATTGAGAACTGTAACATTGAGAACTATAACATGGAGATCTATGACATGGAGAGCTATGACATGGAGAACTGTGACATAGAGAGCTATGACATAGAGAGCTATGATATAGAGAGCTATGTCATGGAGAGCTATGACATGGAGAACTGTGACATGGAGAATTATGACATAGAGAGCTATGACATGGAGAACTGTGACATGGAGAATTATGACATAGAGAGCTATGACATGGAGAACTGTGACATAGAGAGCTATGACATGGAGAACTGTGACATAGAGAGCTATGACATGGAGAACTGTGACATAGAGAGCTATGACATGGAGAACTGTGGCATAGAGAGCTATGACATGGAGAACTGTGGCATAGAGAGCTATGACATGGAGAACTGTGACATAGAGAGCTATGACATGGAGAACTGTGACATGGAGAATTATGACATAGAGAGCTATGACATGAAGAACTGTGACATAGAGAGATATGACATGGAGAACTGTGGCATAGAGAGCTATGACATGGAGAACTGTGGCATAGAGAGCTATGACATGGAGAACTGTGACATAGAGAGCTATGACATGGAGAACTGTGACATAGAGAGCTATGACATGGAGAACTGTGACATAGAGAGCTATGACATGGAGAATTATGACATAGAGAGCTATGACATGGAGAATTATGACATAGAGAGCTATGACATGGAGAATTATGACATAGAGAGCTATGACATGGAGAATTATGACATAGAGAGCTATGACATGGAGAAAGCCCTGCCTGTGTGCCTGTTAATGTTGCCTATGTGGGTCATCAGTGTGTGTGCACCTTACTGTATGTAAATTGCTTGTGTAGGTGTTTGTGCTTGTGTGTCTGTACGTCTGCCTCGCGTGTGTTTCTGCTTTATGCGTGTATTTTTTAATGCACACTTCAAGGTATGAATTTTCCATCCAAGCTTTTTTATTTCTACTTTACATGAATGCTATGTATTTTCAGGTGTCTACATTATATTCTTCATAGATAAAAATACAATTGCTGTATGAAAGATTAGTACTCGAAAGAGCCTAAGGTAAAATAGGCGGGCGGGCCCAAATTGTGTGTGACCCTTTAAAAAAAATTTCTCTTTCGGTCGTTCCTTTCCCCTATCTGCAGTGCCAACAATGCATGATTACTGAAACCTTTTTCATTCGTGCCATGCCTACAGTATGACATAACTTCCCCCTTCCCGATCTGGTGTGCCTACAGTATGACATAACTTCCCCCTTCCCGATCTGGTGTGCCTACAGTATGACATAACTTCCACCTTCCCTTCTCCTGTGGCTACATTATGTGATTACTTCCCCCTTCCCGATCTGGTATGCCTACAGTATGACATTACTTCCCCCTTCCCTTCTCCTGTGGCTACATTATGTGATTACTTCCCCCTTCCCGATCTGGTATGCCTACAGTATGACATTACTTCCCCCTTCCCTTCTCCTGTGGCTACATTATGTGATTACTTCCACCATTTCGATCTGCTGTGCCTACAATGTGTGATTACTCCCCCCCCCCTTCCCCCCCCCCCCTTCACCCCCCCCCCCCCCCCCGATGTGTGTGCCTGCGCGTGTGCGTGGACGTGTGTACAGATCATTGTAAAGAAATGGAGAACACATATATGCCAAGTTTCAAGCGTTCAGAAAATCTATATAGGTCTCATGGCGAGTTGTGCTAGTGTGGTCATAACCTACGACCTTAATCTCCGTGCCCCCGAAGATGACTTCCAGGTCAACAGCACGGTCACGGTCGCCGGTTAGATCAGGCATTTCCACAACCAAGAATCCACATTTCTCCACTCCCGGTTCATCCGTGTACTGGACTTTCTTCTTGGATGACCTGAAAAATTCGAAAATAATCCCTCTCTGGTTATTGATGATCGGTGTATAAGTCTCCCGCCATATTTCATTATGACCTATGACCTCTCCCGCCTCTGCCCAAGTTTGGAAGATGTGCTTGCATAAGTCCATTCCATCAGAATCAACCCGAAGATCTTCACGATGGACGCCATCTTCGAAGGGGAGATAACTTCCAACACCATATGTAAATCTGCAAATTCTCTGGCAGATGGCGCTTGGGTCGTGGCCAAAAGCCACAGCTCCCTTGACAACAGCGAGACTTGCTTCCTCTGGGACCAAAATAGTAACACGTTCCCCGAATCTCTCCCTCATGGAGCTCTGAAGGCGGGTGGATTCGGCAAAGCCTCCTACAAGGAATATATTGTTCAAGTCTTTACATTTAGGCTTGTGAAGGAGAGATTCCACATGGTCATTTATCTGATCTAAAGCATCTTTGAACAGAGCATTGACTTGGCTTGAAGACATCACCAGTTTTCCAGAGGAAAATTTGATATCGCTGCTTCCTTTCTCAGCAGAAAAATTCTTGATGGCTTGTTGTACAGAAACACCATTGTGTTTGTAGTTACAGAAGTTGTAAGGCAGGGACACTCGGATGCTCTCGCACTCTCCTCGTTTCTTGATCTCAAAGTCCTGCAGCAACTCAACAAAATCTTTAGGGAATTCCTTTTGGAAGGTGGCCATGTATTCCTCACCGAAGATACTCTCTAGCAAGTTCTTGAACTGTCTGTCAATGATGGTGCCTCCCCAGGCTCCGCCTGTGGCACGAAACAATTCTCTGATCCGGCCGTCTTTTCTAATTTTGTGAGATACACAGTCGATGGTTCCTCCTGAAATAGAAAAACAGAATTGATATATCTTGTATCTATGATTTCAACAGAAACATTTATAGTAGCCATATGTGTTGTTTTGCGAAAACAGGATCACAAATAGGATCAATACTTAAGAACAAATATGCTTGAATACTTTAAGAAACCGTTTAATATTACATTTATTTTTACCAACTCTATGTGGCCATTGCTACAGCTGGACACTAACAGAGGAAGAAAAATTACAACAGTTTAGATTTGATTCCTGAGAAGACAACTTTAAAAATCAAGTAAGGAAAGTCTCAGAAATGAAAAAAAAAAATTGAAAACAAATGGTTAAATGGTTATGGCATCTAGTTAGTCTGCCTAAAGACCCTATATTTACAGTATTCAATTAGCCGGCTTTGCCCCGGATAGTGAGAGAAAGTTTGATTCTTATCTTCGTCTACACCGCTGCCTTATAGGTAGTAGAAACTCCACAGAGGAGGGAAAACAACATTAGCCTTCCGTCTTTAGGTTTCTCTTGGAAGCCCTCGCCTCATGAACCTGTAACTGTCCCATTTTAGTGCAAGTCTGGTGATTCTACCGGTTATCTCTTGTACATCCCAGAATTACCCGCATGGCTTCATTCTGTATGCGTTCAGGTTTCGTCAGCTAACTCTTTGATATGGTAAGCATTCCAAGTCCATAATCTATCACTGACAGGATCACTTGCTGAAACATTGTAAACAGCATTCTTGTTATCCATGTCCATTGCTGCCATAATCTTGAGAGCACCGAGTCCTTTTTGGCATTTCACCTCAACTGCCACCACATGATCCAAGAGAACAAATTGATCGACCAATAAACCGAGTTGCAATCAAGACGCCAACGATGTAAACAATGGATGGTGAGAATAAGAGTCTCTGGGAATGCCCTCTATGAGAAGAGCACAAATGGGCACCCTTCCGCTGTTTATACTTCGCCGTGACAACATAAGGCACAAGAGGAACATTGGAGATGAATCAAGGCCACTACCAATACACACTTTGTGATTGCTTATGCAGAAAAAAAAGGGGAGGGGGATAATACGAGACATCTTTAGTTAAGCCATGGACTTGTGGTAGTAAAGAGGCCTTGGCTGGCAGTGCGCCTATCAAGAACATGCCATCTATGGAGAGAGAGAGACATCAAAGATGCCGTAAGGGAGGGCAACACTGTCAAACTTTCAGTTTCGTGGAAAACGATTCTTCGCTGAGTTGAGTCAAATATTGACCTCACAGCACTCGGGGCATTCCCATGTATGCTCCATCCCCATCTTCAGCAGCCAGCGCGGAGTTCCAATACTGATGGTACCGGTCACAATTCGGTTAAATGTTCACCTTGCCTATCCTCTGAGTGTAGTGAGCCGGCCAGACCCTCTGGTTACACCCAGGTGCCTCATTCTCTTCAGGCCATAATAATCTTCTTTCTCTACTGATTCAGTTGCTTGTTCCCAAAGGGCCTTGACCACATCTGCATTGTCATGTATCAATTCACCACACAGTGGTGTAGATCCAGTCAAAATGTCTGCCTGTTCATTACCCACCACGCCGGCATAGCTTGGAGAAAAGATCTAAAGTATGCTCACAACCCGTGACTTTTCCAGTGAAGCTTGCCACTCTGCTCGAAGCATCCCTGTCTTCACCATTTTCAGCATGCTTTCAGAGTCTGTTACAGTTACGACATGTGTATGCGTCTTGTTTTCTAGCCACTGGAGAGCTGCAGTTACCCCCCCTCCCCCTCCCCCCTGCCATTCTCATACTAGATGTTGTGGTGTAATATGCTAGGCTGTCTTGCACTAAAGATTTTCCATTGGCTTTCGCTACGAACCCCCAGGCACTTCTCTTTCCTCTCAACACTGAACCATCTGTATAGATAATCTGATAACTTAGGCGTAAACTGTCATGAATCAACTGTTGGACTTCAACCTCTGTAGCACCCGCTGGCCACTCTTTGCACACCCGGCCCAATGTGATCATAACCCTACACAGGTCAGACTTGTCCGCTGGTACTCTGACCCACTCCTCTCCTCGCGAAGTGTTCTCCAGCATCCATACTTGTCCTATTGTGTCTTCTGCTTGAGCCATCCATGATTTTCCCCTTTTCAGCCTCTGACCCTTGCCTGCAGCCAAAGCTTCATACAGATGGTGTTCCCTGTCTGCAGCTACTCTGAGGTAGGACTTAGCCTGCAACACTTTTAGCCTTTCTGTAACAGAAAGCTGAATAGACTGAATGGACTGCATACCCTGGGTATGTAAATTGGAGCAGCAAGACAAGTTAACTACGCAGGAGCCACCCGTCATCGCATCAACCAGAACAGAATGGGAATCGTTAGCTTCAAAACATTTAGAAACATACTCAGGAGGAAACAGGACACATTTGTTTAGACATATGTTTCTACCTATTCTTGTTTCAAGGGGCTCAGTTATACTCTCTGACCGCTGTTCTAAATTCCCACCATGTAAATGAATATTGAATTACAGACGTCATGTTAGCTAATCACCTGTGATAGTCGGGGTTTAGTCTACGTACATTCAAAAGATGAATGTGAGAAGACCATAAGGCAGACCAAGAATATGGTAAAGAGACAACAATATAAACCAACAAACATTTGTAGTCACCAACTGAAAAGATAAAGCCTATCAGAGAGAAGCTGGACGAGGATGCTATAGGCACCAATGAACATGGAGAGCAAAACAGAACTGCATGTTCTGGAAGTCATGTAAAACAAGAACCACTGACCAGAGGAAGGAAGCTACATTTGTTACTTAGCAAACTCTCAAACATTGCACTCGTCTACAATCACCCGAAACAATTACCTCCAGCGTCAACCACAAGGTATTTGGTTCCAGGTTCAAAGGTTGGTTTAGACAAGGCGGTGTCCTTGTAGCCCACAAAGTCAGTGGCGGGCAGGTTCCGACAGTGGAGGGAGGCCGCCTCTGGCTCCAAGGCTATAACCAGCTGTTCACTGTGGGTCTTCTCAATCAGACCACCCTAGAAATTTGAAACAGAACCAAATACTGGCAGTTGAGGCAAAACAATAAGTTAGTAGATTATTATTATTATTACTATTATTATTATTATTATTATTATTATTAATATTATTCCTTTTTCTTCTTCTTCTTCTTCTTCTTCTTCTTTTTCTTCTTCCTCTTTCTTCCTCTTCTTCTTCTTCTTCTTCTTCTTCTTCTTCTTCTTCTTCTTCTTCTTTTTCTTCTTCTTCTTCTTCTTATTCTTCTTCTTCTTCTTCTTCTTTTTCTTCTTCTTCTTCTTCTTTTTCTTCTTCTTCTTCTTTTTCTTCTTCCTCTTTCTTCTTCTCCTCCTTCTTTTTTTGTCTTCTTGGTCTACTTTTTCTTTTTCTTCTGTGTTCCCCCTTAAATGGGTAATTTGCATGTTGGGTTGTGGTTTATAGCTAGCCTACGATATCTGCGACCTTTAGCCCAACACATGTAATTTCATAACACCTTTAATTAGTCCCAGTGTATGGCATGTGTATGGGGTGGGTTTGTTTCCCCCATCACATCCCCCCTCCCCCCCAGCCTAGGAACCCACAGCAAAAAAAAGGGGGGGGGGATAATTCAGGAAATTACATAAAAAACGCTAAAATTAAGATGAATGTTGTCCTTTGGTTTATTTTCATCACCCAGTGAGCAAATAATGAGTAAGGTGTATGGAAAATATGTGGCGATCGCGGTGTTCTGTCATGGTATAACACTGATGCTGGTGGCAATGTCCTGACAGCAGACAGGGAACACCAAGTGTGTCGTGAAACATCGTCTGTGATAACATAACATAGAATAAAATTGACCGTCGGTTGAGACATGTCATGGGACATCAGTATACATCTATCAGTATACATCTATCAGTATACATCTATCAGTATACATCTATCAGTATACATCTATCAGTATACATCTATCAGTATACATCTATCAGTATACATCTATCAGTATACATCTATCAGTATACATCTATCAGTATACATCTATCAGTATACATCTATCAGTATACATCTATCAGTATACATCTATCAGTATACATCTATCAGTATACATCTATCAGTATACATCTATCAGTATACATCTATCAGTATACATCTATCAGTATACATCTATCAGTATACATCTATCAGTATACACGAATAGAAATATTCTCTTAGAAGAGATCACAAGCGTGTGGTCACGTGGTTGAACTGTCTGAACTTGTTATGTATTACTGTTAGTGCTAGTACCAGGACATGAAACGTGATAAAACACGCATTTATTTTATACATTTTCTTCCTTCCTTTTATACACACACAAACGCACATACAAGCGCACACACACACACACACACACACACACACACAGACATAATTCTTCAGCTGTTTTTGTTATCATGGTTATTATTATTTATATTATTTAATGTTCATTGTTTTCCCTGAAAGAAATGTTATTTACACAGAAATGTCAGATTATCAGATTCTGAACTCACATCGGGTGCTAAACAAACACCCTGATTCCTTATGGGGACTAGACCTCCTTGGGGCTTTGTGACCAGGAGAAGGCAGATCAGCGATAATGGCTTCATGATTAGTTCTTAGTTTAACGTGTTTAACGACCTTACATGAAGACAACAATAACTGTACAGGGAGAAGAGATGCATGTGAACAAATGCTAGGCCCCATTCGAAAGGAAATTAAAGATTAACATCTATCTTCTTCTTTTTCTTTTTTTCTTCTTCTTCTTCTTTTTCTTCTCCTCCTTCTTCTTCTTCTTCTTCTTCTTCTTCTTCTTCTTCTTCTTCTTCTTCTTCTTTTTCTTCTTCTTTTTCTTCTTCTTCTTCTTCTTCTTTTTCTTCTTCTTCTTCTTCTTCTTCTTCTTCTTCTTCTTCTTCTTCTTCTTCTTCTTCTTCTTCTTCTTCTTCTTCTTCTTCTTCTACTACTACTACTACTTCTTCTTCTTCTTCTTTTTCTTTTTTTTTTCTTCTTTTTCTTCTTTTTCTTCTTCTTATTCTTCTTCTTCTTCTTCTTATTCTTCTTCTTCTTCTTCTTCTTCTTCTTCTTCTTCTTCTTCTTCTTCTTCTTCTTCTTCTTCTTTTTCTTCTCTTCTTCTTCTTCTTCTTTTTCTTCTTTTTTCTTCTTTTTTCTTCTTCTTCTTTTTCTTCTCCTTCTTCTTCTTCTTCTTCTTCTTCTTCTTCTTCTTCTTCTTCTTCTTCTTCTTCTTCTTCTACTACTACTACTACTACTACTACTTCTTCTTCTTCTTCCCTTTGTCATCTCATTGATACCATGTTATAGCCCTGTCCTGTTTTTTTTGTTTTCGTCTCAGTGACACCAAGTTGTAACCTAGTGTTTTTTGTATTGTGTTGCGCTTCTCGAGTGGCTTTGGGTGATGGATTTTTTCACCTTTTTGCATTTTTCAGCTACATCATATATACATATGTCTTTTGGTCTTCCTTTTGCAGATGTTCTGCTATAAAAAGTCTCAAATGCAGTTTGGTTTTTATTCTTTCTCTTTTTCTCCTTCTTCTTCTTCTTTAATTGAATAATTTAGCAGTTGTGAATTAGGAAAATGAAGGACAACTGAGCGTAACGAAAATCACTTGCATGCAACTTGAAATGCGAGGATGATACTTGCTTGAGTGACATAATAAAAAGCGTAGGAAATACGATAAATAGTCATGAGTAATGAATGTGATATCACGATGTTGGTTAAAACAGTAGTTGGTTCAGGAAATCTTCTCCTTCCCCTGATTCATTCTCCTTGGAAGAGCCGGTCGTACCTTGTGTTATGGTTTACAGTCGGGCTGCCATGTCTGCCCCCATTCAACCCAACACATCAAATTTTAGCAAACCCTTCATAACTAGCCCTTATGTGACATGCTTGCTAAGAGTCAGTGGATCTTCTTTTACTCACCTCCCTCCCCCCCCCCCCCCCCCCGCCTCCAATGAATTCAGAAACGCAAAACAATGATAGTAGCGTGTGTGTGTGTGTGTGCTTGTGTGTGTGTGTGTGTGTGAAATTAATTAAAAGGAATCAATCAGCGGCATTTTCAAACATGATCAAACAGACATACCTTATGAGCCGCTTCACGCATGAACTGCTTGGCATTCTCATCCCAAATGGCTGGGACAGTGAGCACCCATCTGACGGTGTCTGGATGTGGGTCATAACCTAGGTGGGTGCTAATGGCTCGCAGCAGGTGCTTCTTCATAAAAGTCAGGGAATGGGCGAAGACGTCAACAGCAGGTTGCGTCTTCCCATTAGCGTCGGATATCGTGATGTCCGTTGTCAATTGCTGTAGCAGACAAAGAAATATGCATTCGATGAACATTTAGAAACGTTTCTGTGCTGTGTATAGAAGTTGAACAGTACATAGGAGCACTGGTTTAGCTGAATTCAGAGAGTTAAAGCTTCAGAATGTGGAAGTACCCAGAAAAAGATAGCCCAGAAAAAAAAGTATTGTGATGAACATTCAGAAATGTTTTTGTGCTGTGTATAGAAGTTCTGCAGTCGATAGAAACACCGCTGTAGCTGGATTCAGAGAGTTAAAGCTTCAGGGACGGGACTGACTATATATTATTGATGCTATGAAGAAATCACTAAGTGAATATGAAAAGACTGATACAATTCTAGACGTAGATGTCCATGTTTTACGTTGGCTTGAAGTTATAGAAGCAGATGACCTCATGGAAAATTATATGTTTAAATGAAATAATGAATTAATTTGTGAGCGAATTTTATGCAATGTCGAGAAAATGTTTGCTAGAAACAAAAATGAAGGTCATTAATTTTTTAACATCCTTTGTACATTTTAGGAGTACTGATATGTTATGAAATAAGAACAGGGATGATGGTTTGCAAACGCTGGTCCGCGGGACAAATTTACGGGCTCTGGGTTATCATTTTTTGTAACAACTTTGGAAATAAAAAGTTTATTACCAATTGGTGTTACATCGAAAAGAAGATGCAAGCAATGAATTGTCAGAAAGATTCCTGGAACGTACAGCGACCACATCACAAATGACGAGGGTTGTCCTCTAATTGCCCAGCACATTGGCAATATGAACCTCTTTTAACTAAAGTAAAAACACAGACAATGCAATGGTCATCATCATCATGTAGCAGGTCTTTTGCAGAACGTCACTCTCACGCAGTGTATTAGCCAATCATCTTTGATTTACAAATCTTTTAAAATGTCAGTATTTCTCCCCTTCTTTGCCCATGGTACGACATGTTATAAGGTATTTCGACCTTTTAGAAAACAAAACTACATGGCTCAGTAAAGAGCAGGAGGAAAAGAGGAAGACCAAGAAAGACCTGCATTGACTAGACAGGCCTTAGGCCTGCAGCCACGAGGTCCATCGCATCTGACCTTCAAAGGTGGAGGAGACTGATCACTTAGTCAACAGTAACTAGTGACCCAATGACACGCAGTGTTAGGCACGATGATGATGATGATGATGATTTATTTGATACTGATGATGATTGTGATTATAATGATGAAACTTACGTTATTATTATAGAGCTTCATCTTGAAGCGGTCAAAGTAATAATATGAACACGCCTCGTCCTCAGACAACTCGTTGTATTTAGACACAGCCTCAAAGCCAAACGCTTCAAACTGACCATCAGATTTCAAGAGGAGACAAGTCGGGGTTTTGTGCAGCAAAAAACCTGTTGATACAAGACAAACATATCGACCATATTACAAAAAATCTATCTTTTACGGAAACTATACTGAAGGGAAAAGTTAAAGGCAAGGAAGCAAGGACAATGATACAAGTGGGAGGATAACACCAAGAGAGATGGACGAGCATCAGTGTGAAAAGAATTTAGACCTAGGGCTAAACCAGAGATCCATTGTAACCCACCGTCGTTGTGGAAACAAAGTCACGACTGATTGATAGACAAAGTTATTGCTCTTTCTGAAGTTGGTCACGACCAACTATAGATAGTCCGTGTCACCGAAATGGTCACTTGACGTACGCATGCTGACACACTGGTGTGTAGTTAACGGTGGAGACGTGTAGCTGAACTGCTAGTTTCACGTCTGCAATTACTTTGCTTTCTATTCACATTACTTTTGGTAAATAGGTGGTTGCTAAGTGTTAAAATTAATCAGGCTATACTGGCAAAGTGTTCTGGTCCAGGTTTTCCAATGCTACAAGTGGATATGTGAGCGTGTCTAAATTTCCTTCTCATTTTTCTCATTCTGTGTCAAGAGAAAGATAGATAAAACACGGCTGACTCTAGATCGGCCGTAAGCTGGCATGCAGTGAATTCAGCAGTTTTCGAGAAAAATCTCTTTTTTTTTTTTTTTTAGTACTAGACAAGTGTTTCTTTAGCATACTGTAATGTAATTAAATAAAACTGGAAACTTATATAATCAGCAGAGCTTTTATCGGCGATACTCACAAACACGCGGTACTGGCACCTTTTGTAGGGATGAGGTTTTTGATCGTTACTGTAAAGGACTCTTTTTGCTGAGTACCAGCACCTGCTTTTAGATACTTTGGGATGAGTACAGGCACCTTTTCTTTCGAGACAAATTAGTCCTAATAATCAGTAGATAAAGTAATTCAGACAATATACACAACATAATAAAATGGGGGGGGGGGGGGGTTGACCCGATGTAGGCTGAGTTCGGTTATTATCGACTGTTATTAACATATTATAGTTTCCTCTTTGCGTACATGGTCATCTCGTCAAATCTGATTTATTATCTCCAAGAAAAGCACAGGCAATCTGTTAAAACATCTGCTTACGTCTTCTCCCTCCTCTGATTCGCTTCCTCCAGTTATGTCCTAGTAGTGTTAGCAGGAAATCCAAAGATCGTCTGTGTGCTCCTTCCATTGTGTTACATCAGTTCAGTGCATTGATGCCTTCTTGATGCCGTCGTTCCATATTTTGCTTGATCTTCTTCTTGCTCTACGTTCATTATATTTCTTCAGTTTCTTCTCTGCGGCAGTTAGCACCAGAGCATTTTCGACAGCTGGCCAAACCATCTTATCTGTTTCTCTTTAATGAGCTCTTCTATGGCTAGTTGTAATGCCAGTCTTTTTATTGTTTCTTTATCTTTAATTGTATCTCTTCTAGGTACTCCAGTCGCTCTTCTGTCAGACATCTCATCTCTGTTACTATACATGTGTGCTGTTTATTTGTTGTAAGGATCCATGTTTGACACTGATAGCATAAAAAAGATTTAAGGAAAAATGTTCATAGTTCTGACATATCTAATTTCCCCCTCAGCGTATTAAACGTGTCTCCGTTTTGGTGATGCGAGCTTGTCCTACTTATCGG